AGTAAATCAGATTGAAATATATTTTTTTTATTTTTGTAAAATTTGTATTCTTTGTGTACCTATAATAAAATTATTTTGGTTAATATTGACAGTTTCCTGACCCCAATATCTCAAAAAAGAGGCAACACGAATACCAGTGCAGTAGTGCGAATAGATAGTGGCCGATGCACACCAACATTATGTTTCGAGAATACTTGATCGTGAATTAAATTATTTAAAAATTTAGACCTTTTTATTAGGGATGAACCATCCCTTCTGTTAACAGATATATGTTTACAATCATAGAAGCACCTAAAATCATAGAAATAGTATAGAAAGCCGATTCCATATATCAAAAATGAAACCATAAGGAGAAAATAGTGTGTCGGAGCTCATGCGTATGACGGTGCTGGCGCGAACAGGACCGGTGCAAGTTTTTTATTGATCGAACAAATAGTTCACACGATATTTCAATAATACATTTTTAGAGATGATTCTATACAAAAAACGATTAAAAAAATTTCAAGTTAAGGTAAATATGGTTCTGACAGTCCTTATTAAGAAAGATATGGCATAAAATATGAATTAGTTAATTTTCGGCAATCATTAGTACAGTAGTCATGAGATTTTGCTTGTGATTTTAAAAATACTTTCCAGAAAAACCATGTGCTCCGGTTTTGACTACGTTTATTATTAAACGGCGAAATGATATACAAAAACTTTAATCCACAATCTAAATTAGGTACTATCACAAGAAAATCACTGTTACAATAATTAATTACTTAACCAAAAACTAAAATACTTTTTAGGTACCTACGTAACCAGAAAGGAGCTGGACCATTTATCCTAATATTGATTTTCTCTCTCCCTACGGTAAAACTTAAAACAATAACAAATTGCCTATCTACTAGGGTCGGTAACTAAACGTATATACATAATGGGCGGATTTTGTTTATACTTAACATTACACTCGCGCATTTAAATATAACTATGCATATAAATATTTACAAATAAAGATACTTTTCCAAACAGGCAATCATTAGTACTGTAGTCACGAGATTTTGCTTGTGATTTGACATCTTATTTGATAATATCATTTGCTACAACTAAATTTAATCTGGGGAGTGCAAAATAGGGCCCAGGAATATTATGTTCGATATTTTTTTACATTTTGTCAGCCGAGACTATGGTCGTTAGACAGAAAACCTTTCATGTTACCATTTTCAATATAAATTAAAAAATTAAAAAATACTACTACATTTACTTGGTACATATTTTATTTTAATTTTGAACCCTTTTAAAAGGGTCTTTCGGTTCCATAATAAAAATTAGTTGCTGCTTACTAGAAACATTCTATATAGCCTAAACCAATTTATAGTTTGTTTTCGATCAAAAGTTTTTAGTCGATGATAACATTCCACACCAGCACATTGCAAACCTATTTTATAAATAATAGGAATAAACTTGTAAATCATTAATTTGCTAGTTATCTCACTCATATGATTTTTTTGTTTATATGACTATTTCGATTTCTAAATATATTTTGGCCTTACAATACGAAGCGTTTTGTATCTACCACTTTTTTAATGAACGATGAATGTTGACAGGCGTGTACCTTTTTCGGAACAAGAGGCGTTTTAACGAAGGAAATGATTTTCGAACTATCTAGTTAGTTTTCGGAAAAATAGAAAACGTTTGAAGAAAGTTATCAATAACAGTTTGTCGTTCATGTGTTTCATTTTGATCAGCTTTCATACTAAATTGCGTAGAATATTTTTCCGATTCAAAATCGAGATTCTTGATATTTCCACAGTTTATTTATAATACCTTCTAAACTGGATTTATCTATCATTTTATATACTTTATAATATATGTTCATGCCCTACTTTTCACTTTATTAACAATTTTTTTTTAACATACTTCAAAATGGTAGGATATTCTCAATTCGTTGAAATATTTTTTTATGTATGTTGAGCGATAATTCTTTACCACGTTGCCCGATTTCTAAGATTCTTTTTGTTAGAAAAGGAAACAGTTTTATATACATTAAGTCAAGATCTGAAGATGGGATCCATAAGAAAATCATTAACATCTTTATTTTTAAAGTAGGTTATTTTTTTAATTTCTTTAAACCTTACTGGTTCGAACGCGGTAAGGAATGAAGAAATGTAAATAATTGTTGTGTCAGCCAAAAAGCGAAGAGGAAGTACCGATTAAAATATCGAGTGACAGAAGAGTTCCTAAGATTGTTGAGATCGGGTTTATGTTTTAAAATGCCTTAAAACCGATATCGATAATGTCTCCTCGTCGCTATATAAATATACAGCTCTCTATTTACATAATTATAATTCTTAGGTAGGTTTAGATTTGCAGACATAAATCTTGTAATAAATATAACAGCTGCCTAATACATTGATTACATTTTCATTAGCCAATATAAAAATGTCTTTTATTGTACCTAGGATTTGACTAAACACTACACAAAACTAAAAATAAAATGCCACTTTCATTGTGTAATTAATGCCGCGTTTGAGAATCCACATCGGATGCATTTTTTACATCTCGAGCGTTTTTTATCCACATCGGACACATCTGTCCCATTACATTTACGTATACTGAATCACGTGATCAAAGATTTACTACTTACTACATCTCAGATGCATCCGATGTGGATTCTCAAACGCGGCATAAATAATAAACTACAAACGGTCCTGTAAGGGCAGCGTCATATAGCCTTGAAACACCGGATTTTAGTGCTATTGCCAGGTCAATATTGAATTTGTAGGTGAATCACTTATTGAACATTAAAAATACGGTATTAATGACATTAATACGGTATTTGTATATATTTTTGGGAATGTAATTACACATAAATATTATTAGTTGATTATTTAAATGTATATAAGTTATTTTGTGGCGATATTTCATAGATATAAACTGTTTAAATCATATAATTTAAAAATTAATTAATTTAAAATTCTTTTCTGTTAGGTATGTTCAATATATTTGGCAACACTACAGGGACAAGTCATGCATATTGCGCAAGCTTCTAGACACACTATTTTGCGATGTCAGGCGCAGAGACGCGTTTTTATGCACAGCAGGTTTCAATTTCTGCTTAAATGTTATGTTTATATTGGTCTTCTATATTATTTCTATGCCTAAAATGGGATATACAAAGCGAAACGAAAGGTTACACCGTTAACCGATGGTAGATCACCCGTGACTGTCGCAAGCGCGTAGCTAGGTTGTTTTCTGGGGGGGGGGGGGGGGGGGGGGGTTACACTACTCGCATTATTGGTGAATGCGCAGCATGTTATCTTAAAATATGCTAACAATGCAAAATGCAACGTCTAGAGTTCATATGTGTATTTCCAGAAAAAAATACAGTTTTATAATGAAGTTGTTTTAAATTTTGTATTTATATACAGGATGTTTCAGAATAAAGTACCGTAATTTTGGGGATTTGTATATCTTAACTAATTATAAGGAAAAGCTAAATATAATTTTCCTATAAACGTCCCAGTTTTCATTCTACAGGATGATGAAGTGAATTTCATAAATACATAATTTTCTAAATATCTTCCCTTAAGGTCAAGACTAACTTAAAAATATGTATACGTTAGTTAATCGTTATACTTTATTTGGTAGGTTATTGAGTTTTTAGGTGCCTGTATATTTCGCTTTTTAAAAAGGTTCCGTCACCAAAAAAGTTTGAGAATCACTGTCCTAGAGAATTAATATTTAGAGCGGTTTTGTTACAAATATCACCACACTTTATTGTTTTATTTAAATTTTACGACAAAAATAGCAACCTTATTGACACACATAATTCTTATATTTATGAGATTTTTAAAAATAGCAATAATAAAACTGAAAAAGATAGGTACCATACAAAATGAAATGCTTTATAAAGAGCTAAATATTAGGCAAATCATTGAAAGAACATAACAGATTAAACTCAACTCACGTATTGCTATAAAGAAGTGACATTAATTATCAAAGAATTACTTCAAATACATTTAAATTACCCTTGGTAATTCCAAGAGAACTAATTTATATTTTTACAACAAATTCAGGAAATCACTATAAGTAATAAAATTATTCCATACACGTACAACATGTAAACATTAATTTTTTTTTCAGAACCCTAATATGGAATTTTTATTATTTGAAGAAGTTACATACCTTTTCGACCTCATGGCTGCTTTTACGAAATTTCCAAGTCACAACACACTACAGAATTGTTATCTGTTATAGTTTTTACAATCGCGAATCGCGACGCAAGTATGTTAGTAATAAATTTGTTGGTCAGCAATTTTTTTAAACAATACAAATACAATAATATTACGATTGCTTCATGTATGTATAAAATATACACAATAACTGATAAAAATCATTAATATTTTTTCTGTAATCTCTATTACCTAGTCTCGAATGTTAAGGTGCATGTCAGTTTGGTAACAGTTACATAATTTTTCTAAAAAAAGTTATTTAGTAAATTCAATCAATTAAGAATATTAAATATACAGTTAACAATCATCATTATTCATCAACTTCTAACTCTACACCGTATCACTAATAATAACACGTAATATTTCTGTTATCATCAAGGCTGATTTGGAAGAAAGTTATTTTGATCTGGTTCCGGGATACAGTGGTGTAGAGAACTGAAGCCTACCGACTTTCAAAGTCACACCCAACTCAAACCATTGCCTTAAATGGTATGATTTTTATGTTAAACTATAATTTAGTCACGAACCACTGTGGGCCCATCTGGATCGTATAACCTGCGTTAATTTCCTAATAGAGAGTCAAGTCTCCTTGCTTAAAGCTTTTAATTTCTGTTGGTTAAATGCAAATGGGTTAGGTCTATATTCAAAGAATGTACTTCTTTAAGAATGCGACGTTTTTAAACTGAAACAAATAATCTGTTAAAAATAAAAACTCAACTCAAAAAACACCCTGTATATTACTGAAGATTGGAAAAATAAAAAATAAAAAACAAAAAGAAAATATATTTATTCATCAACTTCGAATTGTACAATCGTAGCATCTTTGGGAACATTTTCACCAACAACGAAATTAATTTTGGAAATTTTAGCGTCTTGTGTTGCTTTCACCACGTATTCCATCTTCATGGCTATAAGTATGAACAAAGAGTCTCCTTTTTTCACTTCGTCTCCAGCTTTGACCAAAAGTTTATCTAAGATACCTGGCATCGGGGCTACAGCTTTATTAGCCGACGCTGTTGATTTTTCGTCGTCCTGATCGGTGACGTAGGACGGTTGGGGTAAAGAAAACTGTAGTTTTCCGTTCTGAAAATGTTCAAGAGTCAGATATTTTAAACGAAAATTGATCAACTAAAATAACAAAGATACTGGGTAGCTGTCTATAAATAATATAATGATTGTGATGATAATTTAGAGTATAGGGGGCCAGGGGGCGACGTCCCCTTCCCCCCGTCCTTTGTGTTTAGAGCATCTTTAACGCCCCCACATGTCCTAAAAAAGCTTTGCCCCCTCCGGCCGTTCACCCACGCTACGCTACTGGTGCAGTAGTAAACTCAAATTAAAATTAAATAAATGTAAATGTACTTGTGAGAAATGTGTATAATACTAAAAGAAAGATACAATATACGAGTACAATAAACATTAGAATACAACTGGACAATAAACATAAATATAGAAATATCAAAGATCAGCGTGATTTTTAAAAAATACAATACATTAAAATTATTATAAAATTCACCAGGGAATAAAAAAAAGTTCCTATAAAGTTAACGAATGATAATATAAAAATTGTGAATTTAATTTATGTTTTAGATCACTAATCGAAATCCGAAAAGTCTGAATTATCTAAAATAACTTGTAAGTAATTTGAAAATTCGGAAACAAATCTCAATAATCTCGACCAATTATCACGACCACACCCCAAATCTCAAAGGTGAAAAGCAAAGCCGGTATTCGAACCCAGACATCTTTGTGTACAAAAAATGCCCTAGACAGCAATTTAATGTACTAGTTCTGGCTAGAGGCTGTTATAAACTCGTTCAAATACCCCAATACGGAATCGGTATATAAGAGAAATGCATTGATGCATACTAAGCCCATATCTTTGTCTACGGGAGTTACGTTTTCAATGTAAGTTAAGCGACGTAAACCTGAGTATGATAATTGTGAGGCAAGGGCATTTGTGTACAAAACAAAGATGTCTGGGTTCGATTCCCACCGACGACATGCTTTTTTCAAATTTCGAAGTATTTGTTTTAGGGTTCGGGGATGGTCTTGATAATTCGTAGGGGGATTTTTGAGATTTTTTCGAATTTTCAAATTAATGATGATATAAAACTTAACATTCCAGAAGATAAAAAACTTTTTTTAATTATAGTTTTTTACTTGATTATTTCTTGTTGTTTTGTTGTTGTTATTTTTGTTTTGTTTTTTCTTTTTGTTTTTTCTTTTTTTTTTTGGTTTTTTGTTTTTTATTTTTTTTTTATTTTTTTTTCTGTTATTGGGTTTTGTAGCAAAATGAGAAGAGTACTCTTATAAGTTTATTTCGAGCTTTCGAATGTGATTACATCCATCATCAGGGAGCTAAATTATTAGTTAATTAAAAATTTACGATAAAATTATGTTACTAAAGTTGATTCGAAATGATGTTGAACCAGTGGCAGCTCGTAGTAATTTAAAATGGGTGTTAAATTTTTTTCTAACAATTTTAGGATTTAATTGTAAGTTCGCTTCAAATTTTGAACAAAGAATATAGCGTTTTTTTATTAATTTGTATTTGTATTTAATGTTGTTATTATCAATATCATACTGTTATCAAACACTACACTTACAATAATCGAATTATCGAAAACAATCGATTAACTGAAAATAATCTAATAATCGAAAAGAATCGATTATTTTTAGGTAATTGATTAATCGAAAACCTATTATTTTAAATATTAGATGATCGGTTATTTATTTACGTTTTTAGCAATTATTTTTAGTGTGACAATTATTTAAATTTATAGAAATTTATAGAAATTATTAAAATCTACTAAAATCTACAAAAATCTATAAAAATCTACAAAAATCTACAAAAATCTACAAAAATCTACAAAAATCTACAAAAATCTACAAAAATCTACAAAAATCTACAAAAATCTACAAAAATCTATAAAAATCTACAAAAATCTACAAAAAATTTACAAAAATCTACAAAAATCTACAAAAATCTACAAAAATCTAGAAAATCTAGAAAGATCTAGAAAAATCTAGAAAAATCTAGAAAAATCTAGAAAAATCTAGAAAAATCTAGAAAAATCTAGAAAAATCTAGAAAAATCTAGAAAAATCTAGAAAAATCTAGAAAAATCTAGAAAAATCTAGAAAAATCTAGAAAAATCTAGAAAAATCTAGAAAAATCTAGAAAAATCTAGAAAAATCTAGAAAAATCTAGAAAAATCTAGAAAAATCTAGAAAAATCTAGAAAAATCTAGAAAAATCTAGAAAAATCTAGAAAAATCTAGAAAAATCTAGAAAAATCTAGAAAAATCTAGAAAAATCTAGAAAAATCTAGAAAAATCTAGAAAAATCTAGAAAAATCTAGAAAAATCTAGAAAATTAGAAAAATTTAGAAAACTAGAAAAATCTACAAAATCTACAAAAATTTACAAAAATTTACAAAAATTTACAAAAATTTACAAAAATTTACAAAAATTTACAAAAATTTACAAAAATTTACAAAAATTTACAAAAATTTACAAAAATTTACAAAAATTTACAAAAATTTACAAAAATTTACAAAAATTTACAAAAATTTACAAAAATTTACAAAAATTCACAAAAATTTACAAAAATTTACAAAAATCAAACTAATACAACTGTTTATTACATGGATCTGTTGACCTCTTTTTTACTACAGGCATTCGCGTGCAATTAGCATATTGCACCAACAGACGCGACTAGCCAGAAGGCAGTGGTGTAACAAAAAAGATAGATTCACACGTACGAAAATATTAAACTTAAATTTATATATTTAACTGGGTATTCACTGCACTAATGAGTCAATGGAAAAACCGCCCCTGTGTTGAACATATATTGAATGATAATATATAATTTAAAATTAGGGAAGATAACAACCTTATTCATCTTTTTACTCTCTTGTTTTTTGTTTTTTTTTTTGTTTTTTTTTGGTTTTTCTGTTTTTTGTTTTTTTTGTTGTTTTTTGTTGTTTTTTGTTGTTTTTTGTTGTTTCTTTTTTGTTTTTTAAGTTATTGGGTTTTGCAGCAAAACGAGAATAGTGCTCTTGTAAGTTTATTTCGAGCTTTCGGAAGATAATAACCCTTTTTTAGCTTTTCTTGTATTTTTTTTTTGTTTTTTTTTTGTTTTTTTTTTTTGAAAAAAATTAATAATTCATTTTTAACGAGCTAGTAAAGACTTTTTTCTTGTGTTTAGGTATATAAAAATTACTTACTTCGTCAAAAACTGCCAAAAAGTCTTCATTTCTAAATATATTAGATTTGTAGGCTACTTCATCGATTGTAGAATTCAAAATGTATTTATTATTTACTTTTACTATGTGTCCTTTTACTTTATTCCAAGTTTTACCTCCATCGGGGGAAATAGAGTAGTTATTTTTTCCTTTAAATGTTATTTTTACCAACAAATCTGAAAAATACAAAAATTATTACTAATTTCTTGTGACAGTCGACACAATGGGTCTCCATTTAGCAAACTTATTTTGTTCAAGTTTCCCTTTCTAGGAGATACAGAGAGAGTACTTCTTCTATTATCTTTCAACATGGTCTTCCTATGAAGATTTCTCTATGTAATTGTTGTGTTTTCTCAGAACTAAGTACTTCTTGGTACTCCAAGTGTTTCTTCTGTCTTCTTCCAAGCCTTTTCATTTCGCTCAATCCCTTGATGACTCGGCACCCAAACTAGTTTAACTGAATTTTAGCCTGCCAGTATTCTTAGTACTTCTATGCAATCCCATACCAGCCTCTAAATCACTTTCTGACTCGATATGGTCTTAAGGGCCACTTGGATGTCTGACATTATATGAATTTACTGTCCTAATGTTTTTGCACATTACAAGATTGCATAAACCTTAGCCTGAAATACTAAGCTATGTCAGCCTATTGTATATTTAAGGTTGATGTTAGTTTTTTAGGGAACTAATCCATCTACAGTGCCTTCTGGCGATCTCCATTCTAATTGTTATTCAAACTTCGAATTAAGTGTTGAAAAAGTAACGCTTGGTTATGGATCTGTTGTCATGACTAGCACGTCTCCTGTCACTAACCTTGTGATACTTATGTAGCCTGGTCTAATGTTAAGATTTCCCAGTATGTTCAATAATCTGTAAGCACCTAATCATGCTTTCACTTGCCATCACAAACTAAAGAGGTAACAAGTTTATTAGTGCTTCTATTGCCTCCGTTATTCCAAGGCTTTGTATCTTGCTTTCTGTTGTATTATTGGGTACCACACCAAAGGTGAGATGTCACAACTGGGTCCAATCCCCATTTTCTTGTCGTTCTTTCCAAATTCTGAGTCCAGTTAAGTTTATAATCAATTGTAACCTCGAGATACTTTACTCCCCCTTACTTGGATATTTTCCCCCTCATTTTCTCGATTATTTTAGTTAAGTACCTATTTTTTGACTTACCACTTTCTCCAAATTTCAATTTTACATCTCGCTCGTCCTGATAGTTTACTCTAAAATTCGATTCAGCCACGAAAGGATTAAATCGATCCATCCTAGAAGCAGCTTCCTGTTCTTCCACGATTTTATCCAATAATACTGTCGCCAAAGCTGCCTGGCAAATTTGAACCTTCGAGGGTTCTTCTTTTCTAAATAACGAATCATAATGGTCCCTAATGAAATTGGTATGTACATTTCCGGCCACAAACTCTGGATGACTAGCTAGATCCAATAGAAAGTTAACGTTCGTTTCTAATCCAGCTATCTGCAACAACCAAGAAATGATTTTATCTACAGGCTACTTTTTCTACGGCTATAATACAAAACTACATTTTGTCAACTATTGCTGATCGAGATGTACATTCAGTGACGCCAGCTATCAGACTCAGAAGTCGCGCCCATGGGAGGGACAGGGGTGGTACAATTAAATAAGTATAAGATATATTTTTAATAAAATAATAACCCCAGAGAAACATACCTACATCATATTATATATTAATGTTCTTTTGCATTTAGATATGGATCAGATCAATGGGTCCCAACTGGTGGTACGTGTACCCCTTGAACATCTGTAAGCGGTCGGTGGTTTTAAATTTATTGATACATGTTAGAATTTAATTGTGAAAACAATCCCAGCGTTCCCACCAATTATTTTCTGATACTTTTTAATTGTATGTCTGATTAATAAAAAAATTGTAATAAAATGTCCATTAAAACAAAATTTCTTGTTATAATTTTAAATTACTTATTTGTAATTTAACTTTAACAGTTTAACACTTAAACTTTAACTAATACAACACATTTTAATAAAACTAAAATGTTTTTGTTGGAGGTATGTACGCATAGTTGATGATACAAAAGAGCACACTTCGTCATAATGTGCAGAAATCAATTTGGGTTTGTAGGCGTGGTCAGACAGATTTAAACGTGATCGAAGCCGCCTGCCGCTCATCACCGCTCATACAAGTTGAATTCAATAGCGTAGTGTTACTTATTTGTACTTGTTGCATTTATTTAGCTATTTTTAGTGTGGCATAGCTATGACGAAATGTGCTCTTCACAAAAAAATCGAGCTCTACGTGAGTTGAAAAAGGTTGAGAATTCCTGCTTCAAATAATCTCGAGTTTTTTCGTTTTCAATGCTCAAAAGGGCCAGACTACTAATAAGTCTTGATTTTTAAAAATAAAACAAACGTTTGGTGACATCTTTTACATTGGCACTTAAGAATTTTAGCTCTCAACAGTAGATCTGAACTTTAATATTTCGACTAAGTTTATCATCACTTAACTCATTAAGAAATTTTGGAGAAATTGTAAGAAATAAAGGCACTATGTTGTGTAATTCTAAAGACGTTAAGGTGTCTAAACCTTGCTGGCACTGCCCTAGATGCCCCGGTAGCTACGCCGCTGGGTACATTTTCTTTTTGTTAATTCTGATAACATAAGATTGGTAATCATTTTTATATCAGAATCCTTATCTGATAACGATAACAAAGTAGACATTTTCTAATTGTTTGAATAAAATAATAAATTGTCAAACATTATATAATTATTTAGAAGAGAGCTGTCATTTTAATTTGATGTACTAAAAAGTTATTAAAAATGTTATAGGCATAGAATGGTATTTTATGCAACAAGAGTGGAAAAATGTAATTAGTTTTCTATCTGCACCAACGAGCCAACTGAACTAACCTTTGTTATTTAATACTCATGGTTTTAGATAGTTTTATTAAGAAGGAGTAGCCTTCATTATATTACAAATTTATCCGCTAGAAAACAATAAAAATTTATGGAAAATTTGCCAAAACAAGAACGAGCCAAATTTTCGTTTTTTATACCCTTTTAGACCCTCTTAACCATTTTTTTTTTTTTTAATAAAAATTCTGAAGAAAAAAAGTAGAAAAAAAAGTAGAAAAAAAATTATATATTTTTCTACTTCGATAGTTTTTTAAGTGTTACTTTTTCAGATCATATCTACGCAGATTTTTATATTAACATTAAAAAATTCCAATATGTATTTATTGCAATTTTTCACTTTCATCTTCACATTGACATTAATAATAATTGAAATGTAGGTCTTGTGTATAAATTTACTTTTGTTATTAATAATTTATTCTTCTAATTTAAAAACAAAGAAAAATTTATTTTTATTATATAAACCTTGAATAATATCTACGTCAAAATCTCGACTCATTTTTTTTTAAATTATAGTTTAAAATATATTTTTTTTTATAATTATTGATGTTATGTTTAGAGTTGTAATTAAAACGTAGAATTAACGTTATAGTAGGTATGTAATAAAGTGATTACATATATAGTAGCAGTTACATTTTTTTTTTATAATAATAGAAAGGAAATAAATAATCGATTGGATATATTTATTGTTATGGCAGTAAAATCCCGTATTTTTTTATATATAGAAAAACTAACGGGATTTCAATTTTTTTTTGTATTTATAATAAAATCATTATGAAATTCATACATATTATTTTATGATAATTTTATTACATTTTTTTACGATACTTTTACTACCAAGAAAATTGTTTGTTTTTTAAAGAAACGACATCTAGACAACCAATATTACTTTCTCGTATGGTTAGTTGTATATGCAAAACTTACTTGATTTTAACAAATAGCATATTAATTTATTCTCAACGACTTGCTGCGTCTTTATATTACTTGTTAAAGTTGTTTAGTTTTCAAGAAAGTGGGTTATTTTGTCGAGTATTGTGTTTTAATTATTTTGTGTTGATAAGAATGGAAAATAAGGTCTAAAACTACATTATCCAAATTCTATTATATTCTTTGATATAAACTTATTTTGTTTATGTGGCTCGTCAATATGTAGGTTTTTCCTGATATTTAATAGCCTCGTTCAGTTCTTTTCCTTTGGTTGTAGCAAGTCTTAAGCCCCAGCAAACATTTTTTGATTTAAATTAACACCTAATATAAATTTTTTAACAAAACTTGACAAGAAATTGTTGTAATCTTCTCTTTTGAGATTATATCTGGGTGGGAAGTAGGCAGATGCAACAGTGATTACATATTTTTTTGTTTTAACAAATATACTAACAGTTTGTATTTCTTCAGTTAACTTTTTCCTCGTTCATAGTGTGTTATATTATTCTTAACAATAATAGAAGCTCCACCTCTGGCGGAATTGATTGGATAAATGGTACTATAGATCTAATATACTTTTAGTTTGATGAGCGTATATTTCATAAAATGTGTTTCTGCTATTATCCACATGTTTTGTGTCTAAGGTCATTAATAACTCTTGCTTGATGTTGTAAGAGTCATTTGTGTTCCAATCAAGAATCCTAAGGTCAGGAGTCATGTTCTCTTTTATCATTTTTTATTATTATTCTTTAGTCTGTCCAGCCTTAATAGAACTTTTTTGTTAAATTCTTCCTATTTATCCATTTGATTCATTGTTTTGCAGCACTGAAGTTATCAGTATTCTCTACTGTCAGTTGCATTTCATTACTTGCTACTTGCACATAAGAGGTATACTAGCCTTTATTAATGTTTGTTGCCTTCTTACAGTTTTATCTAGATTTCTTCTGTTGCTTTGATTGACTGTGTCTTTCTGATTTTTAGTTTTGTTTCTTATGCTCTGCTAAGCTTTTACAAGGGTGTAACCTTAATAATTATTAGGTGCTCCCCTCCCCAGTGTATGCACTTAGGTGCTATACTTATTGGATTTTTACAATTTTAGGTTGTGTTTTCCAGCACATTTAACACATCTGGCTTCTCTTTTGCAGTAGTTTTGAGTATGCCTATATTCTTGGCATCGTTGGAGTAATAATAATCATGTTTGATAATCGTTGTATATAATAAGTTTGTTCCTTTAACTTTAGCACAATGGGTGTTTGAGCTGGCGTTATTATTGCTGTTTACTCCCTATTTTCTGTTTTTATACGTAAGTCACTGGGAATACTGATTTTTAGAACATTGCAACTCATTTATGCATAGACGAAAATGGTATCAAAGGTCTGTTGTTTTCTTTCTCCTTTGTAAAACATATCTACCTACAATTATGTTCAGATATATTTTAAAAATATATATTTGAAATGCGATAGATAGTTAGTGCCCAGACAACACACCAAAACCCAGAGATATCCACAGAATATCTTTTGTGGATATCCAATATATCCACAGGATATCAGAAATATCCCGTGGATCTAATATGGATATCCAAATGCCCGTCTATATCCAGAATATAGAAGATATCCTATGGATATCCAGCAAAATATCTAATGGGTATCTCTCAGACAATACAAGAAATCCCAGAGATATCCACAGAATATATCGATTTTTAAGAGCACAAATATTGTATGTCCATTTTTGCCGAAAATGGGATAGGTAGGATTCTATATCCTTCACGATGAAATCTTTATGGTTTCCAAATATAATACGTCTACATAAATAGGTTTACCAATCAGTAAAGTAATGCTAACAAAAATTATACAGCTCGTCATAGTCACCTCCAACTTTCAAATCGATTTTACTCAAAACGACATTTTTGACATACAACATTTGTGCTCTTAGCCATCGATATTTTGTGGATATCCATGTCCACAAGATATTTTATAGATATCCAGCGGATCTAATATTGATATCCAAATGTCCGTCTATATCCAGGATATAGAAGATATTCTATGGATATTCAGCAAAATATTTTATGGGTATCTTTAGTGGAGGTTCATAAGTAACCAATGGATATATCCTATAGATAAAAAAGGAAATAATTCCAAACTCAAATGTCACATTCTTGGCCCGGTTTCGTCCTTATTAGGACTTTTCTGCAATAAATATAAATTCTCGACTCCAGTCTCTAATGGAGTCTGATTGCAATACCAATTTCGTTCGAACTCAGTTACGGCAGGTTGAGCATGAGTAGATATTCAACGAGCGAAAGTGGTAACGCCATCTATACTTAGTAAGCAAAATCAAAGGTCGCTGTAGTACCTAGTTCAGAGACTAGGTGGAATAAAAGCCAGGCGGGCTATTCTTAAAAAAGGAAATAATTCTAGTCCTAATAAGGACGAAACCGGTCCAAGAATGACTTTCTTCTTAGTGGACAAAATCAAGAATTACATCTAGTGGATATTCACCATGGTTTGCGTTCGCGCCTAGACTTTGATATATTTAGAGGATGTCCATGGGATATTGAATACACCTTAAAAAAAATTAATTTTAAATATCTGAATGGTACTATTAGCCACAATGGCGTAATCTTTTAATAATTTTCTATATAATTACTATTATTTATGGATATTTGCATGTCTATAAATTATATCTCATGGATATAAAATAGATATCCACCATGGACTGGACATTCAGTGGATATTGGGATGTCCAGTAGATATCCAAAGGATTTGGTGTGCTGTCTGGGTATATTCCACTGAAACCACATTCTAACTTTTTTTATACAACCGCAACTCACCACATTATTAATAATTTATTTAATATTTTCGCAACCTGCTATACACCATTTCTTCTTTTTTTTTATTAAAAATCGTTTCACCTGAGCGTGGATCGAACTCACGACACGTCCGTTAACGTTCTACGCTTTCAAGTACTAGACGATCTCGACCACTTAAACATTTTTTACTAGATATAATATGGTTATAATAGAATAAGATTTCAAACTTCCGCTGATAGAATGAAATGCAATAGATTCAATTTGTCAATGTTTAATGACCAATTATTTTTAAAAAAGAAAGTGTATATAGATAAATAAATAATGATCTAAATTGCTTGGCCTCGGCTCCGCCTCGGTCCGAAATTTCTGATTTGGCCAAAAAAGATCAACTTTACGGGCTTGGTACACAAATAACTATTTTGCAAACGATTTGAGACCGAAGAAGGCTGCATTTCGACATTAAATTGTCCTATTTTTATTAGTTGCTCCATAGTTTTACTCTTAATTATTTTAGAAAAATTATATAAAAACCAAGTACTTACATTATATTCTCTTAGCTTAGCTTTTAGTTTAGAAAGACCCTCTTGTCGTTCTTTACCCCATACTACAAGTTTGGCAATCATTGGATCATAATGTACAGATACTTCATCACCTTCTCTAACACCTACAAAAAAATAAATAAAAATTAACTTAGGCCTACAAACAAAGTAATTAAAAGGTCAACATATTTAATTAGGTATGCATACTTGTGATAATGTTTACCTGTTTCTATTCTAGTATCTTCAGCAGCTTCAGGGGTTGTCAGATGTAATAGTTGACCAGCGCCAGGTAAGAATCCTCCCCTAGGATCTTCTGCATAAATTCTAGCCTCAAAAGCATGCCCTCTTAATGGAATATCGTTTTGTGATAATGGCAGTTTTTCTCCAGATGCTATTTTTATCTGCCACTCTACCAAATCAGTGCCTAAAACAAAATTTAAAAACATAAGAAATTGATACGGATTATAAATACTAATAAGAAAACACAAAGGGGCTATAAAAAAGCAACCAATTGCTTACCTAATGGGTACTCATCTACTCATACCAAAATGATAATGATGATTAACCTTAGTTGATACCGTAGTGTATAATTTATTACCTGTAATCATTTCTGTGATAGGATGTTCTACTTGTAATCTGGTGTTCATTTCCATGAAATGAAAATCGTGAGATTTTTTATCCAAAATAAATTCAACAGTACCAGCACCCACGTATCCAACAGCTTTGGCAGCTCGTACAGCTGCCATTCCTAGTTCGTTGCGCAATTTAGTAGACAAACCTGGCTATAACCAAATGTAAAATTAAAAAAAAAAGAGCTAAAAAACTGAGAGAATTATTACCGCTGGTGCTTCTTCAATTATTTTCTGATGTCTTCGTTGCACTGAGCAATCTCTTTCGTACAAATGTACTGCGTTTCCATGAGTATCGGCGAATACTTGGACTTCGACGTGTCTTGGTTCGGTTACGAATTTTTCCAGTAATACTACAGAGTCACCGAAAGCTTTTTGGGATTCTGTTCTAGCAGACTCCAAAGCTTCTTCGAATTCTTCTTCAGTGTTGGCAATTCTCATGCCTGAAAAAAGTTTTACGTTATTGGAATAATACAGTGTGTGCTATAACATTGGATCCATATGGGAATTTTTTTAAATATATTACGCTTGGAAAAAACGATGTAGGGCAATCACCTCTGCTTACTTAAAAATTTTAAATACCGAATTTGACAGTTAACTAATGCAATACCTAGCCAACTTTATTATAGTATGGGCTATGTTAAGTTTTTAAAAAAGCAGAGGTGAAATTAAAAAGATCCCATATAGATTCAACTTTATGGAACGATATATGGTATATGTTTAATCAATTTTCTAAGGAAATGTGGATTTTAAAAAAGTACAGCTCTGATTTATGGTTACTCGTCAGAAAATATATTTATAAATCCAAGAAAGAATGATTCCGAATTTAAAATGACGTTTGGTGATGTTTATACTTTTTTAGGTATACAGAATGATAAATTAATCGTGTTAAACTGGATAAGTACAATAGTCTGAGTCTTTGCTTGTAAAAATTCCTATTGAAAAGAGTTATAATTTTAATATATCAGATGAGTATCATAAAATTGATCTAAAATCCCGAATTTCGCAAACGATACTTTATACCATAGCAAGTTTTGGGCCAAGAATTTGATATTTAAGAGTAATATACCAAAACCTTGATAATAGTCAACTATTTTTGTTGCATCTAAATCTCGAAAATATTTTAATATCAATTTGATGAGACATCATTAATGAGGTGAAATCAAATTGTATAATAGCCGAGAAATTTAGCAACAACAAAAATAGCCGAATATTAATCAAGGTCGTGTTATATATCAGCGACTATTTCTCTAGAGAAATAGTCAATATTTGATCTAGTGAAATAGTCAATATTATATTCTTAGAGTTGAAGAAATTACAGATATTCATGCAGTGTCGGATTTATATCTGTTATGAGTGTAGGCCACTTTATTTCCACCGCCCCATGTACCTTTCTAAAATAATAATTTTCCATTTGTAGTAAGGAAGGCACTAAAGTTAAATAAACGAATCATCTATAATATCATCATAGTTTATAGTGTTTATTATCTCTGCTTTTGTGTAGAGAGGAGCTAAAAAATTAATTTTTTCTTGAGACAATGAAGACCTTTGATAGTTTTTCACGTGTTTTAAACAGGAAAAATTTTCCCAAGAACAATTTGTAGCCGGAGTGGAAAGTGCGAAGCAGAGAGCCATATCCAAGTTAGGGTTAACATTAGATAGAGATTGATACCTCAAAAACGTTGAGTGACTAAGTAGTGAGTTTGATCCAGCTTTCACTGCACACTCTGCGTTTTATTAGAGGAAATGTGAGGTGAAAATGCACATATTATTGAACCAAATCGTCGTAATATAGATAAAATAGGTTCAATAACAGTAGGTACCTAGGATTGATAATTTTCGGTAGGAATGAGTTTATATACGGATTTAACTTATTAGTATAAAAACCCATGAGAAAACTAGTGAACTTGTTTGACTTTTATCCTCTGAAATCGAGTGAGCGTCCTCTGAAATCTACCTCCCCTAGGACGCTGCCGTCCCTAGGACGCGACCTATACGGCTTACTGACAAACTGACAAATCCAGGACTGTATTCATGACAAAACCATTACCGAGAGCTCGGTTTGAAAAATTAAAATACCCTAATGGTTTAAGAAGTTAGAATTAAGGGAGAGTGTTGAAAAGTATGGAGAACACTCCTTATCCTTAACGTCATTCGATATTATTTTTAACCGACTACAAAAAAGGAGGAGGTTCTCATTTCGTCGGATTATTTTTTATATGTATGTTCAGCGATAATTCTTTACTAAGTTGTCCGATTTCTATGATTATTTTTTTGTTAGAAAGGGGGTACCTCCGGGGTGGTCCCATATAAATTTAGTCAATATCTAATGATGGGGTCCATGAAAAAATCATCAAATTCTTCATTTTTTATGTATTTTCAGCGATAATTCTTTACCATGTTATCCGATTTCTATGATTTCTTTTTGTTAGAAATTATCTCCGCAGGGGTAGTTCCGTGTAAAATGGATCAAGATCTCTGATGATCTATAATAAAATCAAACATCTCAATTTTTAATCGCATCTGCACGATTTTGAAGTCGGTTTTTTAATTAAAAAATTATTTTAGATAAAATATAAAACATTGTAATTAACGGTTTCGATTATGTCACTTTGGATAAAACCTTTTTGAGATTTGGTAGACACATACTAAATATGTTTTCGGAATCTAGAATCTAGAATGAAAATATTCGATGTTTAAAGGCAATTTTAAAAAATGATTTTATTTTAATTGTACCTATTTTAAAAAATTCAGAATTTTATAACTAAAAGATTACTAATTAATTTCAATGGACCCGCTTTCTTTAGCATGACTTATGTTAAAATATTATCTGGTTTACTGCTACCTGATGATGTACCAACGTGTACGAAATTTGAATTAGATATGATTCAATCCTTTCAGAATATTATTAATAGTGAAGAGGTATATAATACAGTAATTATTAAAAAAATAATTCTTAATATCTACTCATTATTATTATTATTATTATTATTATTTATTTTTGTATCTTGGTTGAAGTAAAAATGCATTTTCTTTCATTTACCTTTACCGCCACCTCCACGAACAGCTTTTATCATCACAGGAAAACCAATTCTTTTGGCTTCCATTTTTAAAACGTCGATACTCTGGTCTTCTCCATGGTACCCTTGAATAATAGGGACTCCAGCCGAAGACATGATTGCTTTTGAAGTACTGAAAATTTTAAAAACATTCACCTTTACACCTTGTTCCAGGTAAATTACCAAACGAAAAAAGATTAATCAATCATTACCTTTTTATTCCCATATCTCTAATAGCTGAAGCAGGAGGACCGACAAAGATAACTCCTTCTTTTTGACAATTCTCCGAAAATTCTACATTTTCGGATAGGAAGCCGTATCCTGGATGGATAGCTTGACTGCCTGATATTTTAGCTATTTCCAATATTTTATCAGCCTTTAAATAGCTTTGCGCAGCTACAGCTGGACCTATCCTATAAGCCTCGTCAGCCTAAAAATAATCAGAAATAAAATGATATGGATAAGGAAAATTCGTAGAAAGTTTATAAATAGATCGAAAAAATGTTACTTTACCGTGATAACTACGCACGGCTTTGAATTAAACCTAAACTCAACTTAAAACATAAAATATTGTATGCTCCGACATGCGTAAATTTTTCCAATGCCTACTTTAATTTTACATTTTTTTGTGAATCATTCTATAGTTTCACTGTACTATATAAAGATAAAAATAACTCACTAAAGAAACATGTAGGGATTTTTCATCTGCATCACTATATACTGCTACAGTTCTGACGCCAAGTCTTTTGGCAGTTTTCATTATTCGACATGCTATTTCGCCCCTATTTGCTATTAGTAACTTATCTATCTTTCTTAAAGTACTTTTCCATCGTACCCCGTATATCAACTGCTGTGTATTCGATCTAAAATATTTGTATTGTTATCAAGGTTAAAAGTAATCATTTTAATGTAACTAATAAACTAACTTACGTGTTAATTAAACCCACTAAACATTTTGTGTAAAACATTTTATTAGGTATTCTCAATTTTCACTAAATAAGTAGGTAGGTAAACTAATTTGAAGTAAAACCTACAAATTAGTAAGATTGCATTTTAATAATAATTTGTTGTTTTTATTATATTCTTATCAGTTAACAGGATTGTGACAGAATTAAAGCAAGTATTACTATTTAGAAATCGACCTTTATCGAATGGAAGTTCAAATTAAACATGAAATTTTGAAATTTTAATATATGATAATTTTGATTGTTGATTGTTTTCTTAAAGTGTAGATTGTGCAGAAAAGCAGTTGTTGTAATAAATATATAATTCTTAACCTAAAATACATATTCTATTATAAAATTAACAATTATTTGTTAATCAATTTATCATTAATATTTTATCAGTCCTGTTAGGTATGCAACACTTATTACACTTAATTGTAAAAATGGTTTTCTATAATTGCTGCGTTTGAGAATCCACATCGGATGCATTTTTTACATTTCGAGCGTTTTTTTATCCACATCGGACACATCTGTCCCATTACATTTACGTATACTGAATCACGTGATCAAAGATTTTTTACATCTCAGATGCATCCGATGTGGATTCTCAAACGCAGCAAAATATAGGTTACTAAGAAATATAACATATGACAGTGACTACTTTTACGGTGTGCGGCTCATAATATTTTTTTTGTATCAGAATTTTCGCTAAAAACTAAAAATTAACTAAAAATTTTCCAAAATATACAATCACATTTCTTAAAAAACAGAAAATTATTTTCCACTGTATATTCAGAAAACAAGACAAATAAGTCCTAAACCGACTTGTTATATCGTTTCGTTCCAACCCCTTATCGCAAAAGAACAGCAAAATAGTTTTGAGAAAAAACGATTTTAAAATTGTAAAATATATAAACAATCAAAAATAATTACGAGAAATATGAACGTATAAATGATTTTTCTTTTAATATTACCAGTCTGTTTTTATATAAATATTAAAAATAAATTTGGATTGTGTCGCTATTCAAAACCATGTTTTAATTAATTTTAAGCACTTGACATTATACCAAATAATTTCTAAAGAAATAAAGTGAATATTGGCGTAAAAAATGTTTTCGTCTGCACGAATGCAATACTGAGGCCCCATTGGAAGGGCCTTAGTAATTGGGGAATAATATCACATTTCAGAATCTGATATACTACCAAAAGTTTTAAGTAGCAACGTCTTAATATTAACAAAGATAAATAAAACAAGTTGAATAACGTCACATTTTAAAATATGTTAACTTTCTTATAAATAAGTTTAAAACTATTTTTCTGTAATTATAAAACAACGTCTTAATACTAATTATGACACTATTCTTCTTATATAGTAACAGTTTAACTAATATGATAATGGATTGATTTGTGACGCTATTCTTCGATCCCGAGAATTACAAAACAGACATTCATCCGCGATGAACTGAAAAATGACATTGTTGCACTGGACGAAATGTAATTTCAATATAATGAAACAGTAAACAAACACTACTACCATCTCCAGACAAATAATAGCAATACAAGTTATATCTATGTTTTAATATCTTCCTCCATGGTTTTTATTAATATTTTATGTATTTACATTGAAAATCATAAAGTTTGAGATATGTCACTGTTCTTTTAAGGCTGTATGTCACGATACTAAATTAAGTACTAAATTTAGCACTAAATTAAGTTATTAATTTAGTACTAAATTTAGAACTAAAAATTTTTTTCCGTTTGCAACGATACCAATTTTTAGTACTAAATTTACTATAGACGCACGCTCATTGACGTATTAATACGTAAAATTAACAGAGAAATGAAATATTATGTGTAAAACAGACAAGTAAATGGTGTTTTTATTATTAATTTGACACTAGTTGACTTGACAACAACCAAATACAGCATAAAAACCATGAAAAAAACACAATAAAACCTACAAAATCAAACAAGCGAACTTTATTCAAGGCGATAATGTAAAATTGTCGCTAATTAAAAATAAAAGGGTACAGAAAATACCGTCGTGTCAACTTTTTCTATGAAAAACTTCTGCGCAACATTTCGGCGCACTTTTAGTACTAAATTTAGTAGAAAATAGAAAAAGATCTAATTAATTAATGACTTTTTTTAGCACTAAATTTAGTACTAAATTTGCTGTTTGCAACGTGAATTTTTTTAGTACTTAAAAAATGCATTAATTTAGTACTTAATTTAGTATCGTGACATACAGCCTTTAGGGGTACGTTATAATTAAAACATCCAACACTTGAATCTCCGTTTTCAGGATTATTACCTTTCCGTATTCTACACTTTAGACACTGCCGGTTAGTTGACACTGTCAGATCTTATAATTTTGAGGTTAGATTTAATTTAAAGTGTTTTAAACATTTTCATTTGGAAATTTTATTATATTTTTTAAAGAAAAATTAAGTAGCTTTAGGTAAACGTAATGAATGAAATGTTTTCACAAGAAGAGCTAGTATTACCACAATGTAAATATGAATGTAAGTAAACCATTGTAATATTAAACTTAAATAAATATATTTATTTATTACTTTTTACAGATTTGGATCACACAGCTGATGTACAGTTAGTATAATTCACAATAAATTGGAGATTTTATTGAATATTAACTTTTTTAGATTACATTCTTGGGGTGATAGCCTCAAAGAGGCCTTCGAGCAATGTGGTATTGCAATGTTTGCCTACATGACAGAAATCGAAACAGTAGAAATAAAAGAATCTGCAGAAATAGAAGCAATAGGGCATGATATAGAAAGTCTACTATTCCACTTTTTAGATGAACTTTTATTTTTGTTCAGCTGTGAACCATATTTAATTTGTAGTAAAGTCACCATTACAGAATTTATGTGCGAGGGTGAGGAATTCAAAATAAAGTGCAAATGTTATGGAGAAGAATTTACGCTCGGAAAGCACCCACAAGGGACTGAAGTGAAAGCGATAACGTATTCTGCAATGCAAATTGTTAATGAACCTGATAAAAATAGGTTTGAATTGTTTGTTATTATCGATATTTAGGAAATAGATTTATAGGTTTTTTTATGCATTTGCTTTTTTTTATCACCAGTTTACTATAATCTCAGTACAATTTATTGTACTGAAATATAATGCTCTTATAAAAAAGTTATTCATTATTGTGAAATATTGCATAATAATTATGGTAGAAAATGATAATCTCAGAATGAGTCATGGGGAAGTTGGTTTAAATTTGGAAATAAGTTGAAATAAAAATGTTATATGCCAAATATATTCTGGGGCAACTAATAATTAGGGTAACCAGAGTTTAATAATAATAATAATAATGGTTTTTATTCATCATAGTTACACATTTACAATAACAAAAAAAGAAGGAAAATGATGAAAAGGCAAAGTTCAGCACAAGGCTGTTTTTCAACTTAACCTAATTTTATATCTTTTATGATATGCTGTGCTATTTTTATTTCTCTTTTTTATTATTTAATTTTCTGAAATCTAATTATAGATCTAGTGTTTTAAAAACAAAAATGTATACTAGTTTTTGAGAGTATTTTTTAATTAAATGTAATAGTTATTTCAATAAAAAAAAGTTTGGCAAGGCTGGATTGAGCTAAAATGATATTTTGTACTAAGGTGTATTTAGTAAAAAGTCTTAATTTGGTCTAAGAAATATTTGGTACAAATTTAAATGATATTGAAAATTGTGAAAGTTATCAGGAGCACAGAATTAGGTCTTATGCAGGATATAGCAAAAGACCTATATATGTTTTTTACTGTTATTCGTTTGAATACACAGGAATGTTAATAATAATACATCTATATGCTGTCATACATATACATTATAAACACACTTTTAATAGTACAATAATTATTCATAGTTTTTCTTGTAGTTCTTGGGTTGTTAGGTGCTTGTAGTTTAAAATAAAAACTGTATGTGTGGTTATAGCTTTCGGCACTGATCAGTAGTTTTCATTCATTAAAGTACATTAAACCATTTTTTTTTTAATGTACTTTAATGACACATCCCAATTCTGTACCAAAGAATTAATACACCTAATGTTAACTTTCATAAAAAAACAATGTGTTAATTAAAAGAAGAAAAAAAATAATACTTGCTGAATAAAAACTACTGAAAAAGGCACACACTGAACAATGCCGAAAGCTTAAAAGACACATACGTTTTTCATTTTGATCTACAAGCACCTAACACCCAAGAACTACAAGAAAAACTATAAATTAAAGTGCAAGAATATAAAAGAAAGCAGATATCTTGGACAACTAAAGGAATAAGAACATTATCTAAAAATATGAGGTCACTCTTATATATTAAAAAGTACACAGATAATCCCCTAATATTAAACTATATCAACAACTACAGAATATTGTATCGGAAAATCACCAAATCTGCTAAGAAAAACTATTACAAAAATCGCATCGCAAGAGCTAAAAACTCCTCCAAAGAAACCTGGTCTATAATAAATGACTTAAGGAATAAAACCCGTTCTTCAAACAGTGTAAATCCTAGCCCAGATGAACTAAACAATTATTTCGTAAATGTAAGTAAAAATATCAAATCTAACATAGCTCCGAGTCAGGATGCTCTCTCATTCCTCCTACCTACTAAAAGGATCACTGAAAGTTTCTTCCTAAGACCAGTAGACAAGCATGAACTAGTGCAAACCATAAACAACATCTAAAATAAATTTTCCTGTGGATTTGATGGCCTGTCCACCAAAATATTTCTAAATATACCCGATGTAGTAATCAACATTTTAACTTCACTGATTAATGAATCCTTTGAAATTGGTCTCTTTCCTAACTGTCTAAAAACAGCTATAATAATCCCACTTCATAAAGGTGGCGACAAAACCAAAACCTGTAACTATAGACCTATCGCGTTATTGCCTACCTTATCGAAGATAGTAGAACGGCTAATGAAAAACCGTCTTTTGCCCTTTCTTTTCAAGCATAACATCCTCACAGCTCATCAGTATGGCTTTCTACCTAAAAAATGCACTAGCGACGCAATGTTTTCCGTTCTTAATGAAATATACACATCACTTAATGATAAACTTTTCACCGCTTCAGTATTTTGTGACTTCGCAAAGGCCTTCGATTGTGTAAATCATGATATTTTAATTAATAAGTTACAAATTTATGGCATACGGGGTTCTCCTTTACAATGGTTTAAAACTTACCTAGAAAATAGAAATCAACAGGTGCGGGCGAATGGTGAGGATTCTACAAATCTAGCAATAAGCAGTGGAGTACCTCAAGGATCAGTATTAGGTCCAATTTTGTTTTTATTATTCATCAACGACATCACAGACTTAAGAATAAGTGGTAGAATTACTTTATTTGCTGATGACACCAGTGTAACCTGGAATAATTCTAACATGCAGACATTACAATCTATCATAAGTGAAGATCTAGTGACTATTAAGTCCTGGTCTGATTCGAATGGACTTTGTTTCAACACCAGTAAAACTGTAGCATTGTCTTACAGAGGTACTTTACAACCTATAACTTTAAACAATAATCTGATCCAAACGGTGACTTCAATCAAGTTTTTAGGTCTTTATATAGACGATTCTCTAAAATGGTCTGCTCATATAGATACCTTAGCAAAAAAATTATCCTCCGCATGTTTTGCCATTAAATCGGTTTCTAAAGAGCTGACTCCTTCTACTGCATTAATAACCTACTTTTCCTTATTCGAATCTCACCTTCGCTATGGTTTACCTTTCTGGGGTTCTTGTAGCTTATACCTTTTCGAATCTATTTTTAAACTGCAAAAAAGAGCAATCCGCTATGTATTTGGTTTAAGTAGTAGGACACATTGCGAAAATTACTTCAAAAATTTCAAAATTCTAACCCTTCCTGCTCTATTTATTTTCGAATCCGTCTGCTTAGTTCGCAAGCACATTCAAAATTTATCCGAAAGACCGACTCGTAGATATCCTACAAGAAATTTAGAGACTGATGTTTATTTAACAATGCCCACTTCTGACCTATTAAAACATTCCATTACCTACAATGCCAAAAAATTGTATAATAACCTTCCGATGCAATTAAAATCTATAAATGCATACGATAAGTTCCGAAGACTGGCTAAAGCTTTTCTTCTAGAAAGACCATATTACACAGTAGCAGAATTTTATAACGTACCTTAGACATTTGAGTTCCACATACAATGGCATTAATTAAATAATTAAATATTAAAGTTTAAATTTAAAAATTAAATTAGAATAATTATAATGACGGATATTGCATATCTATTGCAATTGTTATTCCTATTTTGTCTGTTTGTTTCTGTTTGTTTTTTCTGCTGTTTAGTTATTTTTATAATATGTTTAGTATTTAAGTTACACGCTTTGTCTATAAAATTTTTGTAAAATTTTTTACGACAATAAAGCATATCTCTCTCTCTCTTTCCTTTGTAAAGTACTAATAATTATTCATATGAAGGATAATGTTTTATGTAGGTAACCTGGTAGCCTAATTATGACCTAATGGTTACGTATATGCTGCCAAATTTTACTAAACATGATTTAAATATACAGGGTGGGCCATTAGTGCGTGGGTGGAAGATTGCGGGTTTATTAAGGTACATTTTTAAAATTCATTTTTGGGGCATGGTGTAGGACTTTTAAGGCTACAACCTAAAAATATTTTCGATGAAATTCCAATTGTTCTACAGGTGATTTATATCAAAGTTATGTTTTTTTAATGGGAACCCCCTGTATATTATTGCATATTTGGATTCCTCGGTCAATTTTAGTGTGACTTCATGTATCACACATGGTATCTACTTTTTCCAGTGGCGTAGAAATTTTTTTCAATTTCAACACCCTGTATCCCGAAAATGGTGCATTTTGAGGGTAAGTTAATAGAAACTTTTTTCATATTTTTGGACGAACTATCACGTCCTGAAGTCCTGCGCATATATTATGAAACACCCTGTATATTTGTCCTATGAGGCGGAATGTGAAATATATGTAAGTTTCTGGAGTTTAACCTAGAAACGTGGAAGTTTATCATGTTGATTAACTCCATACAGTCAACAGACCCATTAATAACCCATAAAAAGTTTGTTATTCTTTTTCAAAGGTAATTGGGAGATTACTTTTAAATTACTATCTGGACATATTTTATTTTTGTTCTAGCTTTTAATAACATTTATAAGATCATTTTCACAAAGATTTTCAGAGATACCGACGATCTTAAGCGAGGATTCAATACATGAACGTCTTTGATTGTGTAGTCATTGGTCAGTTCCTCATCTGCTAACTTTTGCAGAGAATGACTCACAGTGTCAAACGCCTTTGCAAGATCGAGAAACACACATAGCGTTGCATTACTATTTTCTAAGTTTTTATATATTTCCCCAGATAACAAAGCAATTGTGTCTTCCGTACACCGTTCCTCCCTAAATCCAAATTGCATATGTCACATAGTACAATAAATTTATTTAAAAAAATTTGTTAATCTTTCTTTTAATGCCCTTTCAAAAACTTTTGCAACATTAGAAATTAAAGATATTGGCCGATAATTTGATACATACAGTCTGCTTCCATTTTTAAATATTGGTGTTATTTTTGCAGATTTGAATTCCTTTGGACAAATACCATTTTGGAACATTAGATTTATAAGGAACGTAAGGGGTTCATATACTTCAACAGAAACTTCTTTTAGAATTTCCGCTGTTATATTATCTTCACCAGGAGCTTTGTTATTTTTTAGGGAGTTGATCATTTTTATAATTCCTTTTTTGTCAGTTGGAGCCAGGTAAATGCTATCTCCTACGTATTTTCTAGGAGGGGGAGCAGTTGGATGTTTAGATATTTTAGAAGCTTATGTTTTCCCTACAACTGAATAATAATTATTAAATGTATTTGCTATTTCTAACTCATCAGTTATAATGTTGTTTTTGTAATTAATTTTTTTAATACTTTTGATTTCCTCTACATTTTATATCATTGTTTTTATTGTTTTGCATATGTGTTTTGTAGAACTAATGTTTTTTTCTATTTGTTCTTTGTAGTAATTGATTTTTGTATTCTTTATTAAATTATTTAAATATGTTCTATATTAGTTAAAAATTCTTGTTTAATTTATTGATCGTCCACATTTATTTTATAATTTTTGTACATCATGTCCCTTTTATTAATTGATTTTATTAAACCTTCTGTTATCCACTCATTGGGTTTTTATTCATTTCTTTTTTCGTTTAGAAGTACTAGTATTTTTACTTATACAAGTTGTCAAATTTTTCATAAAATATACCGTCGCCTGTTCAGACATCAGTAATGCTATAAAGATCATTCCATTAAAATTTACTTAAATCATATTTAACTTTTTCATATTAGTTTTTTTAAATAAACATTCATATTTACTCTTAATAGAGTTGACATGTATTACTGTCGAATAGTGTAATTCTATACCTTATTGAACTTATGAAACACCCTATATATATAAAACCTAAAATACCAATTTATTCTCCAACTATCTTCCAAGATTCAAACAACCTTCATTACCACCGTCCCAAACTCTTTTAAGCCAACGTTTTTTTTCTCCCTGCATTCAATAACCATCAGGGAAAAATATCCTTCATTTCATCGTTTTCAATAACCGTTTATATACACCGGAATCGTCCAGAAGGTCTTTGCGACTTTCAAGAATTTCCGAACAGAAACTCCAAAAAGAACCGGTGATGTTCGGATCCTTGCAACAGTTCGAATCGGTCCTTTGCGCAAAGGGCATCACATCAAAGTGCCGAGTTCTGATTGCGCTCAGGTGCCAAAGTAATTGTCACGTGTGATCGGACACCTTATATTTTATTTTTTAATAATCGTAATGATGTGTTGAAAAAATTGCTGTATGATGTGAAGGATTTTGATTATGGCAAAAGTACTCTATGCAGTCGTGGTGTATGTTGTTTTAGTTTTTTTTGTTAATTTTGGAGAATCAATCAAATGGCTGTAAGTAATAAAATAAATTAATTTTAAATTATTAAAAATTTTCTGTTTTTAACAACAAAACATGTCCAAGTTGTCATAACTAACAGACATCACTTATATATAAAATATTTAGTAGTAGGTATTCAAGGATAATAAAAAATAATGATTTATGCTGAAGAGTAAAATACTTGTACTCTTAAAAGTTCAATAGGTGTAGAGATAAATAAGAATTAACAATTTGGCTATAGGAATTAAAAAATTATGCTCAATTTAAATCATTGCACTCGTTCTTAAGCTCAAGTTATTTTTATTTGCATCACATCAATGTTGTCGTATGTTCAATAAATAAAAGAACCAATACTAAAATGTGTTTTAGATATTTTTGAATTTATTAATTTGATGCATGATTATATGGATTTCCAGGTAATGCAGTACTTTTGATAAAGAATAATATATTTTCGCAAAAGTAAAAAAAAATTGGATATACTATTAACTTAGGTAATCATACTGTATATTTGTTAATAACCAAAGGTTTTTAGTAAACACACAATGACAAAATAAAACTTTTCTATGAATAGATGATATTCAGGGTCCTTCGCGCCGTCATTCAAAATACTGATATGCATCTTTATTAAAATAAAATACCTTACCAATCCAAGAGTTCGGGTGTTGAATCCCACCATAGGCCGGGATTTTTCTAATTAATTTAATTAATTAAATAGTAGTTTGTGCGGCAAGAGTGTATATGGACAATCCACACGAGTTGTACAGTATACTTTTTCTACGACCCTTTAACGAACATCTACAAATTTATAATAGTAGCACAGCTTATACAATACAGCTCCACAACTCCGTGTCGGCGTCTTTGATCTGGCGGTCGAGAACCAAGCAAGACGGAATGGAGCTATCTCTGTTAGATTCGAGGGAAAAGTCGGGCCCGGATTAAACAATTTTTTTATTATTGAAAAAATTGAAAACCTTGGCGTAATGAGTTTGTTACATGCCATATTAAGTAAGTTATGGAAAATTAAATTTTTAATTTGTTTTAAATCTGTCAAATATAATTAAAAAAATTATTTAAATTTAAATATTGCGAAAAATAGCACATCTTTCGAATTAGAGGTAAAATAATTTGTATGTGGCTAGTAAAATCCTCGTTAACAAATGTTTTGAGCTAAAACAGTCACTTCACGACAAATTGTGGCTTGGATCCTTTTTACACCAAGGGCTTCAATTGTTAAAAAATTGTGTCACGCTCGTGGATGCAAATCAAGTGGTACCCCGTGTCTCTGGCAAGTGTTACTATTCGCGCAAAGGGTTTATACCTAGATAAACGAATGCTTCGACTGAGGTCTGGGAACTCTATGGTATTTTGGAATTATAAAGAATTTGTGCTTCTATTTTAACAATATTGGTTATATTTTGATGTATTCTTATTAATTGAAATACAGATTTGTAGAAGTAATACATTGACAATTTTTATTAATATAATATATTCAATTTTTATCTGACCATACCGAAGTAGGGAATTTTGAAATTTTATAGTAATGTGAAATTTGAATTACAATATTACACGATATTACATAATTAGTACTTATTTTAGGTAGGTACTAAATTTGTACTTGGAGAAAGTAATATCGATTTTTACAAGAAAACTTGAAAAGTAAATTAATTTAGTTCCTATTTCTGATGTAAAACTTAAACCAAGAAAACAAATAAATTGTAGTTTGTTCAACAAGGGTGGATATGATAGCCATATTACACAAAGACGAAGTTTGAGCACGACGTCGTAGGCGGAGTACTCAATCGTCTGATTGTGATATGAACAATCCACTCGATATGGTCAGTATATTTTTTCTACGACCCACTAACGAAAATCTACAAATTTAAAAAATTATTTTAGGTTATTTAGACAAAATAACTAATTTTAAAATAATTTACGAAGTTGACTAATTTTTAAAATAAAATAAACATGAAAAATTAATTAGTCCTCGGCCTAGATTCGATCCCGGGCTTTTCGCGTGGAAGGCAGATGCTTTGTCCTCATCTTCACCGAAACTTTCAGGACTTTAGTTTTATTACTCGTAATTAAATTAGTATCATGTAGTTTGATTAAAATTTATTTATTTTTAAATGTGGACACAATAAAAACAAAAATGCTATTATTTATCGAGTCTACACAAAAATTTTAATGTATATTTAATACCAATAACTAAAATATATATTGACAATTAGTTTAACAGAATTGTCACTTATTTAAAAATTTTTAAATAATAGGAGTTGGGTGACCAAAATATGAACTGTGATTTGTAGATTTAATTTTGTTAAAGTGTTCTCACTACCTAAAATGGATATGAAATATATTCGTAGTTGAACGCAATAACATACTTTTTTGTTTTGTAGTATGTGCGTAGATTGGCTAATATCCATGCACAGATTACAAAACGAAAAAGTATGCTATTGCCTTCAATTGAACGAATATATTTCTTATCCATTCTAGGTAGTGAGAACACTGCAAAAAAAAATAAATTCGCCAATCACCGTTCATATTTTGATCAACCGACTGCTATTGTTTTTAAAATTTTAAATAAATGACAATTCTGTCAAACTAATTGTCAGTATATTTTTTAGTTATTGAGATTAAACATACAATAAAATAAGTTATTCTTTTGGAAAACGTTAGCATGGATGACTAAAGGGTATTGGGTTAATTAATTCTAAAAGTGTGGTACCAATGTTATTTTTTGTAGTCAATTCTTCAAAATTATTTTGAAATATCTTTTCAATATTGAATATTAGTTCTACAAATTCATCATTTGACAGTTGCATATTTCCAAATGTATCTGAATTGGCGTTATCATAAGCCTTTAAAAAGCAATAAAAAGAAAAATCATCTAATTCAACGTGATCTTTGTTATATTTAAGACAGGTATCGCAGGAGTGGATCCGCAAGGCTTTTGTTAAAAGGTAACCACACACATACCTGATAAAATTTTTCTGTAGCAATTCGTCTTTACAATAATTTAGGGTGTTAATAATTTCATCATAAAATAAAATACAAGGTGTTCCATTTAAAAAACATACATTTTAATTTGCCAGGCAAAAACGTGACACCCTGTATATCCAAAGATATTTTTAAAATATGTAGGTATTTTTCAAATTCATATAACTTTTATTTAAAACTTTCTTGCGTGTTTACAACAAAATAATGAACAATAACGCACTAATGGGACACCCTGTATAAATTATATTTTTAACAATGAAAATTTTTTATAATGTGGTACTTATCGGTTTGGGTCCTTGGGAAAACTAAAGAATGTTTTTTTGCAGGTATAACCCTTATTAAAACAGATTTTGACTGCACAAACAGAATGATGTCTTTTTTTTTAATTATTCTACTCACAGCTAAAGAGTCACCAAAATAATAACAGTACCTTTAACTCAAACAAAATCAACGAAATTATAGGCTCCACGAAATTATACAATCAACGAAATTATACAATCAACGAAATTATACGCACGACTCAACACCTTACCTAAGTACGATTCTGAACGCCAAAACCGTCTTTTCCCTTCGAAGGCGGAGCTTAAGCGATGCGCGACGAAATCGACGCAAACCGTTGCCGCCAAGAGAGTGTTTTAGCTGTATTGTATAAGCTGTGATAGTAGTTTGTGCAACAAGAGTGGATATGATGGCCATATCGCACGAAGACGAAATTTAAGCACGACGCCGTGCGATGTGGACAATCCACTCGAGTTGTACAGAATATTTTTTCTACGACCTACTAACGAAAAGTTACAAATAAAAAATATATTTTAGATTATTAAAACAAAATAACTAATTTTAAAATAATTTATGAGTTTTAATCATTTTTAAAATAAAATACCTAAACGAAAAAAAAAAAAAAGAAAACAATTCATTTCATTTTTCCCCATCCGAGAATCGAAATCGAGTCTTCCATGTAGAAGGCAAGAACGCTGGCCACAGGACCATCTATTCTTTTATTTTTGTTGCTTTAATACTCGTAATTAAATTGACTTCATATAGTCTATTAAATAACGACAATAATAACAATAATCCTAGAAACAACAATAATAATTAAAATTATAAAATAGAACCTAGCAGTCTACAGGGTACTGTGATTTAGCTTAAAAACATTTTTATATGATATGATAATTGAATCAATTTTACTATAATTTAATTAAATAATTTCGTAAAATAATTATTGTATTTAGAATACATTTTTTAATATATTTTTTTAATAATTTTATCGAGTTTATAGTTGTTAAATAAGTTCTATACATATCCGGAAGAAGATTGAAGATTTTACTACTTTGACCAATACTTTTATTAATTTGGGGAATTTTTACAAGACCTTTTTGTTTACTTCTGGTGTAGTAGGTGTGATCGAATCCACAGAGAAATTGTTTATTTTTGTAAGTATAAATAATAACGGTGTAGATATAAAGATTTCGAATATTAAATATTTTTATCTCTTCATGTAGTAAGTCGGACGGGAAACGAATATTTTTGTTATGTATGATTTTTAATATTCTTTTTTATAAAATATCTAATTTTTGTATATAATTTTTTGTTGTAGCTTCCCAAGATATTATTGCATATTGAATACGACTTTAGACCAAAGCGAAGTATATTATTCTAAGATGAGTTAGGCTTAAATATTTAAATTTGAATAATATTAATCTTAGAGTGACATGTCCCATCTCAAATGTGAATCAATAATAACTCCCAGATATTTTAAATTGTTTTCCATTTTTAAAGATGAATAGATATTGTTATATTTTAATTCAAATGTTTTGAATGTAGGTAAATTGCTTTCATAGCTTGTAAAAGGAATAAAAAAAGTCTTGTCGAAATTAATTGTTAGTTGTTTATGGTTAAACCAATCCATTATATATTTAATATCTGTTTCTACTTTTTGTTTTAAATCGTTCCATAGTTCAGCTTCAAATATTATTGCTGTATCGTCCGCAAAGCTAATGATTTGTCCCTGTGAATG